GGGGGGGGGGGGGAAGCTCCCCATCCCCAGGCGCTTGGTGCCCATGGCTGTGACTGCACCACAGCCCGGGACCCCCAGCCTGCCAGACGGGGTCCCCGCAAGGTTAACCTGGGCTGGTGGGGGTCTCCTGGGTGAACTGGAGGGGCTGGGAGCCAGTGCCAGCATGGGGTGACCAGGGAGGCATTGGCTTATGGCAGTCAGAAGGCACCAGGGAGGCTGAGCCTGGCTCTGGGCATCCCGCTGGGCTGGCACTGGGGGAACTGGGCTGGCAGTGGGAGACTCGGGCCATGTCTGGTTGTGGGTGTCCCCACCCAGGCTTGGCCCTCCCCGGGGCACTGGGAAGCCCCAGTCACCACCTCCAGAGCCACATGGTAGCACTGGGGAGGGGGAGCAGGAACCAGGGGCTGGTCCTGGAGATCCCAGCAGGGCTGTTGGGTCAAGGGGCCCAGCACTGGCCCCAAAGCTGGGAGCAGAGGGAGAGGCAAGGGCAGGCAAGCTCACAGTCAGCAAGCTTGCTGGGCACCCCCAAACTGCCCCTGCCCAGGGGCCACAGCCCTTCCCAGGCACCAAGGGGGCAGAGGCAGCCATCCATGGTCCCTAAGGGATGCTTGTGTGACAAACATTACCGTCACCATCCCCCAGGGCCCACACCTGGCATGGGGTGGGATGGATGGGACGCAGCAGGTGATGGGCACAGCGGTGCCCAGGCTTGTGGCCACGGGGCTCCAAACCCTGTGGCTGCCACCCTCCCCTCCTGCCTCACCCAGCATCACCCGCAGCATAGGGCAGAGGGCTCTAGGTTTGGGGCTTCCCCCCAACATCCATGGGGCGGCAAATCCCTGAACCAGCACTCACCTCCAAAATTGTGCAACCGAGTGCAGCAAAGGGGGTTGCTTTCAGGAAGTCCCCACCCACCGCCTTCCCCCAGTGTGGGACATCTCTCCTCTTCCACCCCCTGCACAGCAGGACCCACAGCATTATCCCGCCCCGTTCACCACCAGATGTGCACACACCCCCCAAGGTTCTGACCACCTCTGCCACCGGGCTTGCCCCCCTTGTCATGGGCCAGACAGTAAAGGGCAAGAAAAGAGCAAGGCCACAGATGTGCCTTCAGACAGGGCGAGGACGTGAGATGTGCGGAACAGAGAATGCACAGGAGAGCCAAATTTGGGTCTCCAGCCCCAGGGAAGCAGCTGGCGTGGTGTGGCATGGCGTGACGTGGCACGGCGTGGCATGGCGTGGCAGCCCCCTCCCTCCCGCCCTGTCCCCTCTGCCCCTGTGTTAAGCGATCTCTTTGATTCTGCGGATGTAGTTGTGAAGCTCTTCGGGGTCTTGCAGCCCCATGTCCTGGCAGACCCACTCCAAGTCCTCCTCATCGGCGATGGGGATGGAGTTGTAGGCCAGGTCCTCGGAGGGCAGCGTGGCAAAGGTGGTGAACTTCACCCGCTTCCGTTTGGAGGTGGGTGAGTTGAGCGGGTCCTCGCTCTGGTCCCGTGTGGAGCCCCCTGAAGAACCGTCCCCACGACCATGGACCTGGCTCTGCACACTGGTCTGCGAGCTCCCGCTGCTGTGGTGGTCTCCATGACAGCAGGTCTGGACATTTTCCAGGGGATTCCCAGGGCTCTCAGGCTGGGGGGAGAGGTCATTGTGAGCCCGCAAGGGCTGCCCATTGCCCAAGAAGACCCAATGGTGGGAATGGTCCATGTTGGTCTGGCCTTCAGGTGGGATGCGTTTGTGCCGATATTTCAGCACAAAGACAATGCAGTTGATGAGGAAGACCAAGATGGCCAGGCAGAAGACGCCCAGGAGGGCATACATGCCTATCTCCAGGTCTGTCAGCCCCCTGGTCACCTGGACAAAGCCAGTGGGGATGGTGGGGAAGTCCTCGGTGGGGTGAGACGCACTGGACATCCTACCGTCCTCACTCGGCTCTGCTTTCCTCTCCACCTCTGCCCGCAGGGTGGTGCTTGCCCCCGTCTCTGCCAGCCCCGACTTGCTGGGCACGTGGTCATAGTCATAGGTTGGGTCCTCCTCAGACCCAAAGTGGACCCGCACGCTGGCCAAGGCTGTGAAGAGCACACTCTTGCGCTTGGTCTTCTGGCAGCTCTCGCAGATGACCAGCTCAGCCCGCAGCAGCTCCCCCGCGCCCTCGCTCTCCGCCACCACCAAGGGGAACGCCCGGTCCTGGGTCACCGAGACCACCTTCTCGTCCAGGCTGCTCACCACCAGGTTGTAGTCCTTGGGGTCGTAGAGTGAGAGGGGGGCTGTGGTGCCATCACTGTAGGAAATCCACAGGCTCAGGAGCGCTTCCTGTGGGACCAACACAGGCACCGGTTGCCCAGCACGATGCCAGTCCCACCTGCACCCGCTTGTCCATCCCTCCACCCACCCGTCCTCCTTTGCATCCTTCTCTCCACCCAATTCACCTGTTATCCCTCCATCATCCATCCTGTTCCTTCCAACCATCACCTAGTTTTTCCCTTTGCCTGTTCTTCCCTCAGTGTTCCCCATGCTTGCCCAGGCCCACCCAAAATACCAGCCCCAGAGGTGCCAGATGTGGCCGCCACAGCTGGGCCCGGAACAGTACAGGATTTCTTCCAGACCCCTTTGTCCCCATGGTTGTGTCCTGTCCCCAGGCTGAGCAGGGTTGGTTCATAGGTCTGTGTGAAGTTTTCTGAGGTGCTTTGGGGTCACCAGGGTGGAGGACAGTGGGTGCTGTGAAGGCCTGGGATGACTCTGGGCAGGATTTGGGAGGGCGGTTTTGCAGACAGAGCCCTCACCCCACCCAAAATTCCCCGTTAGGCCCCCCAAGCGCGAATACACCCCCCCCGGCCTCACCTGCTTGAAGAAGCTGAGGGTTTGCTGCACGGATGTGCGGGCAACGATGGTGTGGCTATTGCCAGGGCTGGGGTGGAGGGACAGCGAGAGGCTGGAGACCACCTGGGCCTTCAGGTCCGTGATGCTGACCTTCTCCTCCGCCACCGTCACCAGCGTCTCGCCCAGCACCGCCTCCACGAGCGGAGACACGACCTGCAGAGGACGAGGGTGCCTGCCACCGCCTGCCACCACCAGCCAGGCTGGCAGAGGGGCAGAAAGGCGGCCTGGGGGTACCTTGAAGAGCGTGGTGCCTGGCTCCCTCCCAGCCAGCGTGAAGCTGTCCACCATGCGGGCCACCCGCGGGTCGTCCACACGCATGAAGTCACTGACCAGGTCGGTGACCTCCACCAGCCAGTCAGGCCCCAGCATGGTGACCACCTGCCCTGTGCCCTCCGCTGCCGTGGTGTGGAACTGGGTGAAGACCTGCAGCGTGGCGTGCTGGTACTGCAGGGCACAGCCCCGGCTCTGCTTCCGCTCCTCTTCCTCCTCCTCGTGCTCGCTGTCCCGCACTGACCTGTGGGATGGGGCAGCAGGTGGGCAGTGCTACCAAGCTCCCCACTGCCACGGCTCTTCCATCCCCACAGGAGAGGGGTGTCCGGGCAGGGAGAAAGACAAGGTCACCAAAAAAATGGTGGCTTCTGGCCAAAAGATGCCTGTTGCCCATGAGGTCTCTGGGAGCTTTAGCAGCACCTGGTAACAGGGTCACCAGCATCTCTGCCCCCTAATCAGCTAAGAGAACAAGATACCCTGGGTTGGGATGGACACCTGAAGGTCTCTTGACCTCAAATCAGGGCTAACTTCGGAGCTAGGCTGCTCCTGTCCTCACCCAGGGAAGTTCTGACCACTGCCAAGAATGGATGTTCCCGACCAACTCCAGCATTTGACCAACCCCACTGTGAAACTTTCCTCCTTCCATACAAACATACAACCTGTGTCCATGATCTCCCACCTTTCCACTGAGGACCCCAGAGATGACTCTGTTCCATCACCTTTAAAACTCCCCCACTAAGTAACTGAGCCAGGCAATGAGACCACCACCACCTCCACCTTGCCTTCTCCAGGCTGGACAGATCCCAACCACAGTGGTTCCGCAGCACCCACCTCCTGTCTGGCAGGATGGGCACCCTCCAGCCCTTCACTTGGCTCAACCGGGCATCCGAGAGCTCGATGTGCAGTGGCAGTTTGGGCACCCATACCGTCATCTCCAGCGGGGCAGAGAGGTGCTCGTAGGTGAAGGTGACCCGGGCGCTCATGGAGCCCCGCGACTCCTTCCCGCTGACGAAGACGTAGTCGCAGCTGCTGGAGACCTGGAGGAGGAGGGAAGAGGAGGGGTTGCAATGCTCCTGCAGACACATCGGGGATCCCGGCGGGAGGCTGCCTGGAGGATGGGAAATGCCAGAGGGGCAGAATATTACCTGGCACATACCCAGTTAAAGGTAGCCCAGGAGCATGGACGCCCTCTTCTCCTCAGGGTCCCTGTTCAGATGTGCGGGCACACACACACTGTGGCCGTAACATGTATTTCCCCCCAGCCCAGTTCCTCTGCCAATCCTTGCAGGCACCTTCATTTGGTGCTTCAGCTTCCTTGGCCTCCCCCACCAAATGGCTCAAGCTAGAGGCACCCATGAGTGCTTCACAGAGGTTGCAAATTGCTCATCCTGGACATTTGCCCCAAAATCTCCTCCACCCACTCCCAGAGGGCACAGGCAGCCAGCACAGACCAGCCCCGTGCCCATGCACACCAGTGTCCCAGTACCCACCAGTGCCTCGTCCCCGTCCCTCCTGTGAACCCCAGGCAGCACTTCCTAGAGTCCACCTGAATCCTCACGTTCATCTTCTCGCTCTTTCTCTTTTAACTCCCATTTACACAAATGCCATTAGTTAAATTTGCTATAAACCAAATACATCCTGCAGGGGCCACTTATTATCGACCGATCCGAGCCAATTAAGGAGTTAAGAGGATGCCACTGCAGCATCACCTGTCTTTTGGCTTAGGCCATCAGAGTCAACAGCAACTTCTCCTTCCCAGCAAGGGGGGAGGAGACAACCAGGCTGGGGCAGCTCCAACCTCTCATCTGCAGTGGCCACACGGCACGACCCTGACCCCCTCTCCCCCACCCTACACCATCAGGAATCACATCTGAGTTGTGTGCTGCCAGGGAAAAATAAAACCTGTTTGCTCAGCCAGCAGCGCAGCCGCTCTCAGACACACCAAGCATCTCAGCAGCACAGAAAGGCTTATTTCCAAGAAGCTGCTCTCCCACGTGGATACTCTGATGGCCGATAAGGAGTTGAGTCCACACGGCACAGTAGCTGAAAGCGGAGGCGATAGCATCACTGTCTCTCTCCCCATCTTATCTTTGGGCACCTGTGGTCATTCAGCTGCAGGAACTTTGTATTTCCGAGCCCAGAAGCAGGGCAGGAGCCCACTGCAAGGTGCCAGTGGTCCCTGGGGCCAGTGGAGGAGGCAGAGATACCAGCTCAGCACGTCTGAAATGACAACCTCATCTCTGGCAGGGCGGCATCTGAATAAAGATGAGCTCCTGGGCAAATCTTCCAGCAAAGGAGTGCTCTGGATATTGTGCCATTTATCACAATAAATATGATGGGATGCTGCTTGCATTACCTTAGCTAATAAATCCCCCCAGCATCATCTTCCGTGGACCACTCGCTTTGCAACTGGGGGGGGTTGAAACTACGACAACAAAAAATCCCAGCACATCAGGCCTGTCCTGATGATGGAGTGACTGCAGATTAGCTTTTAAATAAAGTGCACGCTTGTTCGGAGAAACTTCCCGGATTTGCAGCAAGGCATCGGGAAGCGAGAGGCTGAAGTCTGCCCGGGCTCCAAGCCAATGCACCGCTGGCTCCGCTTCTGTGGCCAGGAGCTCCCCCCTTGGCACGGCCTCAAGCATGGGATCAAGCTGACACAACTTCTCCAAGGCCCTTGGGAGTGGGAAGAGCCGCCGTGGCTGGTGGCACCCCGTGTTGGGCAGCCAGGGGTCCTGGCAGTGGCTGTGGGTGACCAGGGTCCCTGAGGTTCAGTCCCACTGAGCCGACTTGTGTCTGGTGGGTCCTGAGGCAGACGTGGACTCTTGGGAAAGGTTCACAGAGCAGGTGAGGGTGAGCATCTCCCATCGAGCATCCCTGGCAGCAGAGGTGGCCCTTCCACTCCCTGCGTGTCCCTCGACACGGACACAGCCCCCACATGGGCAGGCAAGAGGGATTATTTCTACGCTACCTTGAGCGACGAGTCCCTCCTGGGCTGCGCACAGGCAGTCACTCTGTGTCACCACAGCAGGGGGTGGACAACTCCCACCCGTGCTCTCCCACCACCCTTCACAGGTGGCCCTGGCACCTTCACATCTGTGTCTACACCAAGTCCAGGATGTGTTCCCTCCACGTTACACATAAGAGCGACCACCACTGAGGCACAGGCAGCGTGGGGAGAAGCAGCTCCCCAGCCCTCCTTCATGTTAAATTATTTACAGTAACAGAGAGCACATCCCACTATGTAAGCTTTGATTTATGTAACAGGTTTATAGCCCTGACACCGTAATCATACTCCCCAATCTCAGCAGGTAACTGAGAGCTCCCTCGGAAATGAAGCTCCGGCAACAAACACAAAATAACTCAGCAAGAAATTGCACAGGGCTCCGAGCGGCGAGTGGGATGCGAGCAGGAGGTGAGCTGGGGCTGGAGGGCTGCTCCATGCATTATTCATCCCACTCGTGTGCATGTGTCTGCTCCCCCCCAGGTCTGGGGACAGCATGTAAATAGATTTATGAGTAGAAAGGCAGCACATTAAACAGTTTAAGTGTCTTGGAGTCCATCCTGAAGTGTATTATTGCTCCAGTGTTTTATCACACTGCGGAGGACCAGTCTCCATAAATTAGACCCGGTGCTGTAAATCGCACAGATCGGAGTTTGAGTCAAGAACTTGGGTAAACAGTTTGTGACACTGGCTGTCACCCACAGACCACTGGGAAGAGCGAGTCCCAGTGGGGCTGGGGTTCTGCCTGTCACCCCTGGCTCAGCTGGGCGAGCGCCCGGTGGCTCCTGACAAGGGGAGAAGCGGGTGTCCCCCAGGCGGGGGGACGAGGGACAGCCCAGCCCGCAGCATGGCTCACTGCCCCTGCCCGACGCAGCAGGGACAGAGCAAGGGTGGGCTGGGTGGGTGCATGAAAAGAGAGGGGTGGGAGGCGTCTGGGAGAAGGTAACAATGTCTAGGGGTGGATGGATGTGTGGGGGGATGGAAACGATGACAGAATAACATAGGCTGGTGGACGGATACACAGAGAGATACAAAAATGTATATGGATGAATAGGTCTGGTCATGGAAAAATCATGGCTGGATTTGAGGACCAGCTGCTGCCTCAGCAGCTGGGGTGGATGCAGGGGCAGTCACTGCTGCTGCAACAGCGAGCCTTTTGCATTTGCCTCATCAGCATCTCTCCCATGCAGCCCATCTTGCTCCTCTCCCTCAGCCCCCTTTTTCCCTCTGCTGTTCCCAACTGCCCAGCTCATCCTCCCACACCTCGCTGGGGCCAGCCCCAGCCTGAGCTCAGCCTGGCAGCGGATCCAAGAGGGAGATAAACATCACCTGGAGGCACGAGTGAAGCCACTGATGGAAACGTGCAGCTCACATTGCGAGGTCACAATATTTCACCTTAACGCTACTAAGTGCCGTGATAACCCATAGTTACTGCTGCTGTCTGGTGCCAGCCCACACAGCGCTGGAGCATCCCGCAGCCTCTCTGGGAACAGTGACAAAGAGTCTCGTCCTTCTACCAACAGATTCCAGGGAGAGGAACACGTGGACTGAAGCCACTGAGGGGATAACGATGCTTAGGATGAGGTGGGTCTGTGCAGCACATCAGCTCATCCATCAGCCCCAGCTCACCAGGCTCCAGGTTGGGCTACTACTGGGGTCAGTGCCCTGGAAGAAGCTCAGCCCCTTGCTGGGGTCACAAAAGTCCCCTCCCCACACCCACCTTGATGATGTCTTCATTGTTGGACTTGCATTCAACCATAGCCGAGACATCCACGACGACACCGCTCAGCTCAATGGCAATGACCTTTACAGGAATGGCCACCGTCCGCCCCGTCAGGATGGCCGTGTTGATGATTTCTGTGTCCTGGGAAGGGGGTGCAAAGGGGACCATCAGGTCAGAGGCAGCCGGTCCCAGATCCTGGCTGGCCCCTCTCTTGCTCCAGCCCTGGGGCAGGGAAGGGCCTGCGGGTGGGTGGGCTG